TTATTTTATCCCACGGCTTCTAATTGTTCTCTCATTATTTTTTTTATTGTTATTTTCATGGCTTACGTCACAATGCTTAATATCGTTATAGTTGATATTTTCACGGCTGATATCTTCATGGCTGACGTCATGAATCCGTGAGGATAAATCAGTTATTCCACGGATTTGTCGTCGATCATAAACCATGGACAGCCTTCGATATCATGCATGATTGCGGCTGCGCCGCAAACATGCATAATATCTCCGGCTGCCCATGATGTTTTATGATATCTATGATAAAACGTGGAATAACTATTTCACATTTATCAGTAATAGGGAATATTATACGTATTTTTATTTTATAATTTTATTTACGTGATTAATTTATTTGATTGCTCTTTAATTAACGATGTATTTATAGTTATATCCTATGTTTATATTCACATACTGTATACTACTAGCCTTGTTAATTTCAATAAAGAATTATTATTAATGTGATTTATTATTTACACTTTTTACACTTACTTTCCTTTCTATTCGATTCTGATTTGATAGTAAATTATATAATTATGAACTTTATTACTATAATTTCTAAAAAAAAAAAGTTTTTTTAAAAAATTATTCAAAAAAATTTAGTCTAAATGGAAATAAATTTTTGAATTTTATAAACATAGCTAAGAAATTCTATTTTTCGATCAGACTAAATTTTTTTTAAAAATTAAGAAGTTTAAAAGAATATTGTTTGTTTATTTTTTGAATGTTGTTAAATATCGCAGGTTAATATGACTGACCAATTAGATCACAGGATATTGTGTAACACAAAAGAATTAGGAAAAAATTAATAAAAAGTTAAAAATTTTAAATATATTAAAATTTTATTATGTACACTAGTCTTGGGCTTCTAATTAAAAGTTTTCAGCTCTTAATTTTGCATATATATATATATATATATATATATATATGCCCTCTAACCCTAATCCTAATACTAGCTCGAACCCTAACCTTAACTAATCCGAATTTTAAATAACCTGCTATATTGAACAAAATTTTATTTTTTATAGTGTAAACCCGATTTTTTTGAATCACAAGTACCCAAATCCGAAGTGCTGATCTATACCCAATCCAAGAACATGCGAAAAGAAACAGAAATATTATTTCAGTTGTTAAACTGAAAATTGATCTTCCCTATACGACTGCGAAAACACGTGACCTACGTGAGCTTAAAGGTAAAACCGAGTAATCAAAGGATCTTCATATATCTAATCTTATTTAGTGATATACTGTTTAGACATTCCCGTAATGTTTCGTGCTAAGTCCCTACTAATAAATTAGAGAATGATTAGTTAGTTTCAAGTATTATTTAGAATCAACATTAAATAGTATAATCCAGAAGTCTATCTCTTCCCTTCAAACTGTATATAAGACTTGTAGTTTAGACTCCATTAAAGTAGACTTCGACTTGCCCTTTCAAGTAGTATAGGATTCGATTTCTCATTTTGTTTGATTGAATATTCATTGTATTGAATAAACTATTAGTTCGTGTCTTCATACACAACTAAAATCCAATAAACTTACCTGAAGTTATCGTTAAAGTGAATTAATGATCTTGAATCACGTGACTATCATGAAGGGACTTCATGATCAGTATAAACACTTACCTAAATCACCTATATAAATTATTAATGACCTTTTGTATCTTCATATACAACTGTGTTGTTGCCTCTTTCGACCATAGCCTTATTGTTTAAATTCTCTTTGATAAGTCATTAAACTGACACCATATTTCATAAGCAAGTATATTAAGAGTAGTCCTCAAACTATTCCTTAACATGTCCCTTAGATTCTGCTGAGAGGTGAATTCTGAGTGTGACAAGTTTGGTGGTGATTGTGAGATCAAGAATTCTCAACAAACACCAAAAGAATTTGTGAGTAGAAATTCAAGGGATTCGAATTTAAAAAAATATTGGAGTATTGAATCAGGAATTCAATAATAAAACAAAGTTAATAAGTTCCCCATGAGCCAAAGTATAGATATAAGGAACAGATATTTCATGACTGCATACAACACGTTTGCTTATCAAAATCAACTACATGATTATTGACATACCTTACAACCTGATACACCTCAGACTAGAAGACAAT